GGAGGGTCTTGCTGCTTGAACTGTGTTCAGTTTCTCTTGTTCACTCTGTAATTAAACCAAAGATGTCTGTTTGGTTTAGAATGGCAGACTGCATAGGAACAAGTGTTTTAGTAGTTTTTTAGCGTAGACTCAGTGACCTAACAGAAAAGATCAGCTGTGAAATTTTCTGTTTAACCTGTATTTCAGAAAGAAGATTATTGTAAAACACATTTTTAAGTGATGAGGTATAGTATCAGTCAGTAAGAGAAACTTACTGACAGATGAGACATTATAGATCTTCTATTTGAAGTCGTACATTGATTGGTGAGAGAAATCTGGCTAGTTATTCATAGATGTGAGTGTATGATGTTTGAGGAGAACCAGAAGGCTGGAGGGGTTGAGGAGGGGCTGGTTGCATTGTTGCCTTACTCTGCCAAAAGACGGTTATCAAGAATATGGAGCCAAGTCTTCTTGGAGTTGCACAGCAGAAACATGTGAGGCAATGGACACAAGTTACAGCAAGGGAAATGCTCAAAAGACAGTGGGCGAGGGGGGGGATCACACTGAGATTAGTTAAGTCCTCGTACACATTGACAGAAAGGTGGAGGTGTTTCCATCCTTGGAGAACCTCAAAACACAGCATGACAAGGACCTGAACATCCTCATCTAACTTTGATGTTGGCTGTTCTTTGAACAAGAGTTTAGGTGATCTCTAAAGATCTCTTCCAACCTAAATTACTTTGAGTCTACAATTCTGCTTGTTATAAATGCAATATATTCCTGCATAAGCTTTTCTCTTAAAGTTAAACATGTTTGCAAAGCTATAAAACTCTTTAACTTAGATTGTAAAACTATCTTTTGCTGGTGATATGGATGGCATAATGTGTACAGTGCCAGAATTGGAGGGGAAGGAAATGAAATGATGAACTACTATACGAAAAGGAAATTCACTTGCACTATGCTATGAATTTCTGGAAGTGCATATACGCTCCTGGTGTAAGTGTGATGCATCATCTGGTGAAGGTATTGCACTAAAAATAGATTTCCTGAATGTATGCTGTATTTGTTCAATTCTTTCAGCTTACCATTTTGATAGACAATAAACTGTAGCTGCATAGTGAGATTTGGTGAATATACTCTGGGAACACATCACTATTTTAACTAAAATACAATTCCTCTTGTGAACAAAATTTTTAAAGCACTACAGTTGATGAAAGTACCCTTCAGATGTATCCAGCCGAGTCCTAGTAACTATTTTCTTGGTAGAAAATTGCAAATAATTAAAAAAAAAAAAAAAATTAAATGAAGTTATTTACCCTTAATTTTTAATCATATACAGATGTGTTCAATTCCTTGTTCTTACAAAATCTGCTGCATTTCACAAGAGTCCGTTGTCCTTGTTCATGTACTTCAGTCTTTCTCAAGGAAGATGTCCTTCTAATACTAGGCAATGGATCTCAGAACATTTCAATTAGTTTCAAATTACAGTTTTAAGATTACTACTAATAGACTTCTATGAGTTTTACTGTGCTCTTCCACTCAAATATACATTAAAATAGTACATGTATATATTTTGCTTACACGTAAACCTTTCTTTTTAAATATATATCCTTATTAAAATGTACTACACTTTCCGTGCCAGTTCAAAAAAACAATCATTTCTCATCCAAAAAGTAAGTCTCAAAGTTGAATTGCAAATCTGTGATAAGACAAATTTTGCAGCAAGCCAAGCAGTTGCAGAGTGTCAGAATACATGAAACTTTTATGGAAAGTCGGTAAACTGGAATATGGTCCATAGAGGCAATGCAGAGTAACTGAAAGTATCCTTTTATGGGTGGTAGCAGCAGCTTACAAATGTGGATATTTGGAATGTGTAGAAAATCACTGAAAAAATTGTGTATACCGTGAAGTCCGCAAGTTTTTTCTGTAATGGTACTCTTACGTATGCAGTACAAAGAATCCTAGTGGCCTTCTTACACAGTCGTTTTGCTTGTAAAAATGCTGAATATTAACTGTACAAGTCATTCTGTATATAAATTTCTCTAAAAGGTAGCAAAAAAATGCTGCTGTAAATATCTTTTACTTATTTGGCTTATGAATACTAATCCCAGTTCTAATGGTGAGTTCTCAGAAAAGAGGTGATAATGGAAGTGCTGGCACGCTCAGTGTCCCAGACCTGCAGGTGTTACAATAAAAGAAGTTTTAAGAACTTCAAGAACACCACAAGGGCATAAACCTACAGATGTTTCCTTCAGTTGTTTGTAAAGGGGGAGTTTTGCTACAGTTCTATTGTTTCAGTTGTCCTTTTTCTCTCGGGGTTTTACTCCGCTGTAGTTTATCATCCTCAGTTCTCAGAATAGCAGAATTCCCTGGTAGGGCACACTGAAACGGGGAGGAGGGGTCTTTCCTTAAGACCTTTCCTTTCTGTCCTCCTGACAGAAGGGGAGGGTTAGATTTTTTTTTTTCCAGGGCAGAGAGTTTTATTATAAAGATCATGACTGACAGAGAAATCCATAGTGAATGAAAGATTGAAATGGCATCACTTTAGATATATTGTGAAGTAAGGAAGAGAAATTACCTGCAGTTTTAAAGTGTTTGCTTATTAGCTGCACCAATGGAAAGCTTAATCTCATTGCAAGGAAGGGCACTCTTTCTTGATGAAAAAGTTGAATGGCTGGTCTGGTGAGTGTTCTCTTTTATTGACTTAAAATATGGTCCTTGTCTGATGTTGTGAAATGAGGAAGATATGTTAGTAAAATGTGGAATACCATATAGCCAGAAAAGATCATCTAGTTATTCATGTTAACGTATCAGTGAGTAATTAAATGTTAGAAATACTATTTAAGGTGTGGAGAACAAAATTCTGCAGCTATAGCTGAGCTACTGAGGACTTTAGGAAGACACAGCTGCATTGTCCCTGATGAGTTCTTTTAAGCATTGAATTTGGTCACTTTCTACGTCAAATTTTTGGTTACCTTTTTCCATTTTAAAAGGTTACAGAAAGACTCAGTAACTCTTTCAGAGCTGATGTGTTTGAATTAAAGTGCAATAATTCAACAGATAAACCTTCAGGAAATATTACTAAGAATTTATATCCAAATGTATTGGTGAGATGATGAAAAACTTGCTGTATGTTTATACACGGTATACGAATGGAAACCCAAGTTATTATTTTCTGTCTCAAATGACCTCACTCTATTGGGCAGGAAAGAGGGGAGATGATATATTAAAATAGGGACATGGAGTCTGCTTGCATCACAGTGTTATGGGGTGTAAATTTTTGGTGAAGGCTTTTGAAAGGGGTTAACTTACGGCAATGTGAATCCCACATAGAATTTTGTAATGGAGCTGTAGCTCTACTATGGCAAGACGTACAATAGATGTACAGTTTCATTGTTCTTTGCCTCACAAGGAAATCCATTAGCTTAAACGAAAATAAATTCAATGTTTCTTTATTTTTAGCATGACTTCCTAAGGAAATAAGGCTTAGGTCATTGCACTACCTGTCTGCCTCTGTTCCCACTTTAGGGCATCTGGACAATTGCAGTCAAATCTAATGTAGGAGTTGAGTTTTCAAAGATGCAAAGTGTTCTACAAGACTAGTGAAAGTCAGTGACTAGGCAGAAAAAAAAAAACTTAAACTGAGCAATTACAGTACAAGTTCAATGGTTGTCTGTTCCACTTAAATGTGGGCTGATCAGGCAGCAAGTGAGTGCATGTTCCCAAAGGATCTGCTGTGCACTGCTGGCACTTAAGCGGGGGTAAAAATACTATGAGGATTGCAAACAAGGAGAACCAGAGGTATTTGTGGGAGAGTGGGGGTGGATGTCAGTGGAATCAGAAGGGGGGCATGACTGTAGTAAAAAAAAAAAAAAAAGGAAGAAATTTAGTGCTTTAGAAAGAAATTAAAAGTACACTCAACCCGAATCTCCACAAATTCTTAGGGAATCAAGTTTCACCAGCTCTGCTTTTCAAGGAAGACTTTCTTCATATTGTAGAATACGTAAAAGGAAACTTAACTGGACTGATACTGCTGCTATTTTTACTGCAGTTTTGATGAAATATAGTACATAATTCTTAGTATTGAGGTTGGTTTAGAGAATAATAATTGAAAATTTAACTGTATACGGTGAATTCCCTCCTATAATTTGACAATTCAACAACTCTACATTCAAACTAAACTATTTCATGTTTGTATTTTTCCAGCATGGACTTACATCACTCCAGGTTTTTTGGTCACTACTTAATTAAATTTGTAAAGCTATCCCATCTGCCTTAAACTTAGTTTGCTTTGCACGCACCTTTTTAGTAACTTTTACTTTCAAATTTATCTTAGTATCACAGCTCTTGTTTTAATTAATGTAATATAGTTTAGCTCACTGTTTCAGGTGATTTCCAATGAAGCTAATTGAATGCCTTGGAAAATGCTATGTACTGCAAATTTTGATTTCTTTTCCATGCTAGTTTGTCCTCATCTGTGTAACCACTTCTGCTTTAGTTATGTTTGTCTTAAAGATCTCTGTCAACATCTGTTCTGCTCTTGCATTATGGAATGTGTAAGAAAATTCATGCTTCTGAAGCAGCCTATGCTTATTTCTTGTTACCTATACATAAAGATTTTGCCACATTTGACTTTTTACAAAATACAGTCAGTAACATCTGTAGTCATTGTGATCCGCATCTAAAACTTTCTTAAATGATGTAGTGTGTCTTGCTAAATAATTGCCTCTGTAAACTCCTACATAGTTTAAGTTGCGGTAGCAGATGTGTGTTGTCTGTAGTTGGCCTTGTGCCAAAAGTGGAAGTGAGTGGTTAGAACTGCCCTGGGATTTTTCTTGAGTATTTTATAAATTCCATAATTGTCTGATTCAGACTTTCAGCATAGGATTAAGTATTCCTTAATGTACTGTGAGTGCAGCTTTTGGCTTTTTATACAGGCGTATTGGTTTTTTTAATTAGAGTTTAGTTCTTGTTTTCCTGAAGATTTAACTTATGTTCATTTACCTTTTTTTTTTAAACAGGTCATCTGAACACGAATCACCAAAGTGAGTTTTCTTTGAACTTTCTACTATAGAATCTCCAGCTTTAAGATGTATAATAAAATACATAATTTGAATTGATTTTTCAAAGTACTGGTCTTGTATGGTTAGAAGACACAAATAAATCTATAAACCAATGGAGATTGTAAAGATTTGTGAAATTGGGGTGCGGAAAGTCTTAAGTTCTAATACACCCTTAATCACTCTTAGCAAAAAAAGTTGGTTAAAAACTGCTGTAAAAGTTTAATGATGCAAAAGTCCACTGGTAATCTTATCTGGTAACTCTTTATATAGTGCCAGAAGGCATTAACTGAAATAACTTGTTGTATTTTTCTGGTATTGTTAATTTTTTTTTTCTACACTGAAAAATCATTATGATCTGTAATCTCAACTTGTAAGTGAAATGTTTTGGGTTTTTTTAAATTACTATGTTCTGAAAAACTTATTAGGATGTATTTACATATACTATGTTCCTACTTGCTTACCGTTGATTTCACAGGAATCCTGAAGAGTCCTGGAAGCTATCAGATAAAATCCAAATTTTGACAGTATAATTCTTTTAAGTGTTATTATAATTCACTACTCCAAAGTATTTTCCAATTATTGAGAGTGAATAATATCTCCCCAACACTGAAAAAAATTTTCTGTAATAACTGAAAATTCTGCAAATGTTGCATAAAACACTTCATTCCCATTGGCAATTACACATAGTATAGCTGAACATCAGAAATATTACGGCAAGAATAAGTTTGCTTGATGGCACCTTTCAGAATGTTTACGTTTGTTGCAGTCAGATTTCCACAGGCCGAGAAATAAGTGTTTGCATTATTGAAGTTTGCTGCAGTGCGAGTCCCATACTTTAAAAGCATAAGCTACATTCGTCTATAGTGTAGTATTAGTTCTTTATTAACAGCTAGCAGTGGCTGCTGGAAATGGTTCAGAAAAGCTTACATACATAGTGACCTAGTACCAGAGCAGAGATGAGTGTTTGAATTTACAAATTTCAATGCCAAGGTTTACTTGCATATACTTCTGTTACTTTAACCCTGTGAGAATTTGATGTTGCTTTTAGGGATAAACTGCAATAAACAACTAAAAGCCTGTGTACTTCCAAGGATCAAATATGTTTCATTGCAGTGCTGGGTTGTCAGTAGCAGTGCAGAGTATTCCTGCAAGATGTACAGCCACTGAGCATGATGACCTATCAGATAAGTGAAAGGTCTGTCTGCAGTGGGGTAATACAAGTAGCTAGGACTAGGACTCGGGTTTTGCCATATGCAGCGCTGTGTGTTAGTGGTGTGAAACAGTGTCTGAGCTATAGCTGAGCTTTCCCCAGGACAGAGGTTTTCACAAAGTACTGTGTAGTATTTATAAAGACGGAGCGGTTTGTATGTGTGGTATCTGTGAGTTTGATCCAATTAAAGAAGGGGTTTAGTTGTATTAGAGGTCTGGATTTCATCTTCTTCGGAAGAGGGCATGTAGCTAAATGAATGTTTGAATGGTCCTGGAGCACGACCAGGCAATTTGGCCAATTCTAAGATTCGAGGTGTTCATTTAATTACCCATTTTTGTTTTCTTTGAATTTTAAGGTTCTTGACTGACTAGGCCAGGTCTGCACCCCCATTTAATTCTGGGTCCTTCTTCATGGTTATAGCTACCTCAATGACAAATTATATTAACTGTCATTAAACCTTTCATTGTCACTTCATGTCCTATTTCTCTGACAATTTACCATGGCTTTTCTGCAAAGCACCTTCTCCCAGAGGGATAAGGTTGAGATGGCACTCATAAGAGGAAGGAATGAAAAACAAGTGTTTTGCAAGAACGAGAGTGGAATCATGGCAAAATGTTTTCATGGGTAGGATTGGCAACTGAAGTGCCTTTCCCCTGGGACTCAGCTCTCATCATGTTACTGTGATTTCTTGTACCACTGCAACAATGCCTTTCACTGCTAACATCCAAATATTTTGCTGAAAATGGTTTTGCTACTCCAGTTTTGTTTTGTCCATTCTTCTGATGTCCACTGATCAAATGATAGCCTTGGATCATACTCCAGTCCTGTTACCATGCACCTCAAGAAGCGGTGTTAAATCTAAAGTATAAAGTTGGCTTACTCTTTTAACTGGGCAGTACATTTGTATGTTTTACTATTTAATTTAAAAAACTGGATAACAATACCTTTGTAATATTTATTTATCCTTTTTAAATGAAGGGATGTATTGGGAAACAGTCCAACACGGAGTTCTCTGACCTGTACCTCACCTAAAGCCTTGGCTCTATCTCCAAATGGAGTTGGTAACATTTCTGGCTCTTACCCGTTGGAAGGGGTCCATAAACAGTTCTTAGAAACGTATGACAACGTTACAAAAAGTAGCTCGACAGAAGATTCCAGTCAATACTACTGCGATAAGGTATGTTCAATCGCCTTCTTTTAAAGTCAAAACTAGTACTAAATGTAGCTTTGAACTGTAGATTAAGAACCCACAAAAAGTGTGGTTATATTCCAGGATGAGCATATTTTATGCAGTAATAAGAATAAATCTTGTCTTACTACTCAAATTTATCCAAGATTGTGTACGCGGTATGATAGGCAAGCCTGCCAATTGCATTGATTTCCACAGTGTCCAGGTTTCCAGAAGCATCTCCAGAAGTTCCTAGTAGAATGGGAATACTTACGTGATTAAATCTTATTTCTCCAAGGAAAGATCAGATAACTCAAACTGCTGTATGTCTTGATAGCAGGCACAACTCTGCTTTATCCTAGGCGTCTCCTCTTTAGGATGGCTAAACATCATCCTTTGAATTCTACGCTGGCTAGAGAGCAGCTGCTCCCTGCTAGCATTATAGTAGTGGATCATTCCTCCTCTTTCTCCAGCCTGTTCTAGAGTGGTGCTGAACAGCTTCCTAACCTGCCTGTGCAGTAGCTGCTGCCGACTTCTAATCCTTCTGGCTTGTGGATCTCTTGCAGAAGATACCAATGCACCCATTTACAGAAGAAAAATTAGGCAAAAAGTAGTCGCTTCATAGTCCTTAGAGCAGAATCGATTCAAATGTGTTGCACCAAACATTTTTTTCCCTTTAAGTCACATTTAGTAAAGACAGCACATTGAAAATTTTAGTAGGAGCTATCAAGTGAGAAAGCTATGATGAGAGTAACAGTGTTAGGACAGAGCAAGCAGAGAACGTACTTGCTGTTATGTGTGTTGCTATTTTTTACAGTTTAAAAGGTTACAATCATGAGTGAATTTTGTAACCTTAGCTTCTTCCTATTTTAAACGTGGATTTACATAGAGTATTGTTATTCAGCACATCTAAATTTGGATGCACTATTTTCTAATTTGCTGCTATTTTCTTTTAAAAATTAGACAAGTTTTGGTTTGTTTTTTCTATGTATTGCAGAATGACCTAATTGAGGGAGATTTACTTTTGGTGCATATCATACCAGATGAAGATGGGAAGTTTGGATTTAATCTAAAGGTAAAACAGCAATCTTTTAGTTATTTTTAAATGCTTTATAGAGATACTATGCTTTGTCTTTATGATTATTTTTCATTTTTAATGCAAAGCTTTGGAGAAAGCAGTATATTCTACAGGAATTTCTTATGGACCGAGAATTTTTAGAAGTGGCAACCTAATTCTTAAATGCTAAAGCAACATTTACAGAAATAAGCCTTTACTAGTTCTGTGGTTTTTAGTTGCATATACTATGGGCATGGCAGATTTCCAAAGCAGACTGCCTATTTGGCTGCTTAAATATGAACTTGGAAGCCTAATTTACGGCATCAACTTTTGGAAAATTTGACCTCTGTATTATAAAGCAAGTTAAATAGTTTGTGCTATCCAATTGAATGTATCCATTAAAAATCATATTGGAAAGGTGAAAATAAATTTATGAAGAAAATGGAAATTACTATTGATAATTGACTGTTGTAAATTTTTGACATTCTCTCACTGAAATTCCATTTAGGCAGATAGTGCAAAGTAGCCATAATATCAAAATCGGGGCAGAACACTGTCCACCTTGCAACTTCAAGTGTTGAATTAGGCTTGCTTGAAGGGTAGGGTTAGAATAAGTGCTGCATTTGATCTGTTTATTGCCTATTAAAATATATGGCCAAGCGAAGACACTGGGTCTAGTTTGCTGGAAATTGGTAGATTTAAAGATACTGCACCCTCCCCGCTCTTTACTGATGAAAATTCAATCTTACTCGTCCTGTCTATAATGACAGAGCATAAAGATTATATAAAAACAAAAATGAGTGATTACTTGTCTTAAATGCTGCTTATGCTTATTATAATGAAATATTTATGGTTGTTATTTACTTGACATTCCTCTAGGGTGGTGTAGATCAAAAAATGCCATTAGTGGTATCAAGAATAACTCCAGGATCACCTGTAAGTAAATTAAGACTTTTAATCCCTCCCTTTATTACTCCCTCTACCACTCACACAGGTTCGTACATGTAGGAATTTGGAAACCCATAACCAGTATGAGATAGCAGCTGAGCTGTTCTCTTTAGAAATTGATTTGACCAGTGGTTTCTTAAACCACAGATGAAAAGATCTGGAAGTGTTAGCCAAACAAGATACCAGTAGAAAGCATGTTTGTTCCCTCCTGTCATCTCAAAAAGTGCATCTTGAACTGGAAAATGTTTGATGAGGGGCAAGAGCAATGACTGAAGATATGGATCACTGTTCATTGAAGAAGTGAGTAGTCTGGGCCCCTGCAGCCTAGAAGAAAGTAGTTTAAGGGAGATGTAGTAGAGATCTGCAAGATTAGGAGCACTGTGAGCAAGGGATTCCAGTAGAAAAACTACAGGCTACCAAACTAAGTTAGTGAAAGTCAGGTTCTTCATGCTTAGTGAAGTAGTTCTTCATGCATAATATAGTAGACCTGTGAAACTCCTTAACAAAGGCTGCTGTGGTTAAAATAATTTTGTGGGTGGTCAGGAGAGGACAAATAGTTGGGAGAAAAACCTGCTAGCAGTTACTGAATAGAGAAACCATGATAGGCTGAGGAAATCCTTAGGGCTAAAAATATTTATAGGATGGGAAAGTACTTGGCAGGGGAGAGGGGGTGCAGAATATGTTTGCTCTGTTCTTATTTTGCCCTGGATTTTTGCTTGTGGAAATATTTATGGACTAGATGGAACACTCATCAGAATCAGTACAGCCATTGAATTCTTCTGTTGAATTGTGAAATAATAGTAATATAACATCTTGATAACTTTTTTCTAAATAATTACTACATAAATTTGTGAAGGCATATGCTATCTTATCTCAAATTTTTTTCACTCACCCTCTTCCAAAGTATATTTCCCAACTCTCATAAAATTATTTCAGTGCAAACTTGATAGGAAGTATTGCTGGCTTAATCCTAAAAATCCAATGTACTCTGTATCTTGTAGACTTTTGAAATTTGATAATCAGTCACAGGACTGATATCTCCATGTCATGATGTAAATCGAGCTAAAACAGGTTGTTTGAGAAGTTGTTTTTGTCACATATATGATTTGTGGCTTGACTTATGCAGTGCATAGCACTCCTTTATGAATACAATAATTATTTGAATAAAAGAGTAGTAGGAAATTATCATTATAACTTAAATCCACAAAGTGAAAATAAAACAGTCCTTAAAACGATTCACAGTCAACCTAGCAAACTTCTTAAGGGTGATTTGAGATACTGAAGTTAATGTAGGGCAAACAGGCTCATTCCACAATCGGAGAATGAAAGATGCTTCTCCAGAGGTAGTGATTTCCTTTGGCAGATTCAGATTGTCTTCTGGGAAGTATTGATCTGGTTTTTTCTCTTGGATTGGAAAAGGACTGGATTTTTAACTTACAGGCTTCATTTAAGTGTCTCCAGTTAGGAGCATAGGCATAGATGCAAGTGACCAATAAGCTCTAGTAAGCCATCAAGTGAGCAAGTTATCCAGGGTCAGGGAATAAACTGGAAACAGTTATACAGTACAATATACTCAACACCAGTGTTACAGAAATCACATCATGTTACAGCAAGAGGAAAACAATTGTACTTATTTTTAGAGCGTAGCAGTATTAACATTGATTATATTGTTTTCCATAAACTAAATTTCACCTGTTCTTGACTGTTTAATGAAATGTAGCTGATATTTGAAAGTTCAAGTTAAGCAGTCTGTGGAATGCATTTTTGTTATTTTAGCTCAATGATGCCTTTCCTTCATTGTATTTGCACTATTTTAACTTGCTCTCGATTCACTCATTACCCTGTAAATTGTTCTCAGATTGTGGTTTAACCCAGCAGGCAGCTAA